GTCTCAAAGCAGTTTCTGTAATCAGCTAAATCTAAGCTGCCTTGTGGATTGAATCTTCCTCATGAAAGACTTTTGTCTTTTCATCCAGGTGTGTAGTTCTGTCGGATCCTCTGAAGGACTCATCTCGATCTCAGGAATCCTGGAATTCCTTGCTGCTAAAGCTGCGAACTCTCCTCCTCATGTCCTTCACCAAGAACCTGGGCCGCTTCGAAGATGAAATGCGCACACTACGAGAGAAGCGCACCCAGCCGGGCTGGAGCTTCTGTGAATACTTCATGGTCCAGGTACGTGGAAAGAAGCGCCAGAATGTAGGCCTGTGTGTCATCCTGTCCTTGAACTCTGTCCTAGTAGTGTCAAGTGTTGATTTCCAGTTTTGTCTTATGTGTGTGTCGTGCAGGAGGAGCTGGCCTTTGTTTTTGAAATGCTGCAGCAGTTTGAGGACGCCTTGGTCCAGTATGATGAGCTGGATGCTCTTTTTACCCAGTATGTCCTTAACTTTGGAGCGGGAGGTACGTAATCACCTCATTATTATGCTTTGTTTCAGTAATTAAAAGAAACACTGTTTGCATTTTTGTTTCCATTTTCGAAGGCTAGTTTTGTTTTCGGTCATGCTAATCCGCTTCTTTCACAGATACTGCTAACTGGCTCGGCTCCTTCTGCGCCCCGGTGCGTAACTGGAGCGGCTTGTTGCTTCGGCGACCCATTGACATGGAGAAGAGGGACAGCATCCAGCGTGGAGAGGCCAGTCTCTTAGACCTGAGAAGCTACCTGTTCTCTCGCCAGTGCACTTTACTAATCTTCCTCCAGAGACCCTGGGAGGTCACGCAGAGAGCGCTGGAGCTGCTCCACAACTGTGTACAGGAGCTCCGCCTGCTGGAGGTATTAAACGCAGATCGTACCATTTCTAATGGTATGAGTGGACTTTCATCCTCTCTTTCTACAAAATGTGCTTCATTACTTATCTTAAAATGCTTTCTTGTGTTACTCAGGTGCAGGTCCTTGAGGGAGCTCTGGACTGTTGGGTGTTTCTCAGCTGCTTGGAGGTTCTGCACAGGATCGAGGGCTGCTGTGATCCAGCCCAGTTAGCTGCAAACTGCTCCCATACTGTTGGTCTCTGGGCGTATGCTACAGACAAGGTACCACACACAAAATAAAAAAAACAAAAGTCTTGCTTTTGGGCTTTAATAACTTAATAAACCCATTAGCAGCACATTTAAGCTTCCAACAGATCTGTTTAGGCTCTTAAGTTGAAAAGCTCCATAAACATTGACACTGATACTAACACTAGCTTTTTACTGTTGTTTGGTTCTTCGCTTGTTATCAAACTTGTAAGAACTATTAATATTGTATCACGCACAATTTCCACTGTTCAGCACCAACCTAAAGACACGTGTCTTTCCTGGTTTTTACCCCTCAGCCCTAAAAAAGGCTGAAGGGGTCGCCAGCCTATGGGGCAGCAGGTTTTTAAATGCAGTAGCTCACAAATGCTTCAAATGGATACCATAGGTGTATCTGCTAGGAGGCTGAGGGGTAGGAGGTAGGGCTGCCACAAACGATTATTTTGATAGTTGACTAGTCGGATCATGCATCCATTGGACGTACAGTGTACAGCTTATTGCACCAGCAGCATCTGCTCTTATATAACTATCATTAGCTTACAGCTTTAAGTGTTTAAGGTATGTGCTAACTAAA